GATAGAGGAAAAGCTCAGCCGAATTCTGTACAAAAATATAAAAGAGCATTATATATATATACTTTTCGAGCATTCACGCAATTAGATATAAGAATTTTTCTATACCTCAATGCACATATATCTTCGTTTCATTCAAATAATCGTCTTATTTGACATTTCAGTCAAACATAAAACATAGTGAATAGAATCCTATGAATGACATGTTATTGTGCACGTATTAGAATTTCACTTAGTTTACAATAATGTGTGTAGGAATAAATAGATTTGTTTTCATAAACATGCAATATTGTTATTGACAATTTAGCTAACTGTTTTTTTTTTTATTGAATTCTCAGTAGTTTTTAGAATGCATGCTTATATTTAAACAAAATTAGACGAATTCAATTGTTATATGTGACTTATTCTTTATTGCTATTCTATATGAAATATTTGTACGAATCAGTAAAACTACAGAATTCTAAATTGACACAATATAATTTTTATTCAGTAAAGAGAAAAACATCAAAGTTTATATCAATTACTGATACATTCAATATGAAGATGTGTTAAAACAAATGATTTTATTTTTCAGGGTGTATCTTGTACGGCAACAATGGTTGCTGTACTTGCTCGTAAATTAGAATTAACACGTGCGGAAAAACATGTGCATAATTTTATGATGGATACACAATTAACAAAACGCGTATGTCAATTTAGAGATTAAATTTCTAAGTTACAAAAAAAAAAAAAAGAGTATCTTTTTTCTTTTCTAATAAAATTTAGTTAAAAAATGCTGCTGCTAATGTTTTACGTGAAACATGGCTTATATATAAATATACAAAATTAGTAAAAACTGTAAATGTATCAAGAGTACGTACTCATCAAAGAAAATTCCTTCAAGCTATTCATAGGTAAAAAAAAACAATTTACTTTTTTGATTTAAAAAAAAAAACAGAGTAAAAATTTCTTGTTTTTTTTTTTTTTTCTAGTTTACGAAAAGTTAAATTAGATCAAAGAAAATTAACAGATAATGTTAATGCTGTATCTGATATAGCACGAGTAAGATAAATTATAAAATTTTATGAACATTAAATATTATTTTGAGATATTCTAGCTTCAATCATCTGTTTATGATGTTGTTTCACAAATGCTTTCGAATCAAACTACTCTTGAATCAAAATTTTATGATTTAGATGCAAGAATTATGACTCTACAGGTAATGTAGTAGAAATTATTTTTCTTCAAGGATAAACTAATTGTTGAAAATGAGTTTCCTCTTACAAGAAAATGACAAAAAAATTTTAATATTATTCAAAACTACAGTTTCGAACTATCGGCATCATCTATTTATAAATTAATATGTAGCAGATTATATAAATTCTAAGATAGTCATCATGACTATGTTGTTTAAACATCAATATGATTAGTCATGAAATGATCTTGAACAAATCATGAATGATTGTTTGTCTCGGATCATGCATCTGATAGAAAACTAACTATATTGTGGTATATATATATCTGCGCTTGTAGTTTGTGTATATGGGAAACGGAAGAATTCTGTCTCAGATTGATCTTCTATTCAGAAATGCAGCTAGTACGAATTGTAGAGAAGATATCGGACTACTGAATCTGTCGAAAGACAAGCTTAATTTTCTTTTCCTATGATTTTAGAAAATTTTCTTTTCTATTGCATAAAGTTTTTAAAAGGGTCTTTTGTTATGGTTCATTATCAATTAGAAAGATTCTCTTTTTTTTTTGCTCAGTTTATCTATCGTAATAGTTCTAATGATAGACGAAATAAATAAGTGATGCATTGAACTTAAATGTATATAAGATGTTTTAACAGTTAAATAAGAAAAATTCTATTTCAAATAAATTTTCTGTATAGAAATTTCAATCGCATTATTAATAAGTAGTAATATCTCAATTATTTGAGAAATATCGTATTTCGAAATTGTTTATAATTACACTTTCTTTTCTTATAAATCATGATATTTAAAAAAAATTTATTCCACTATGTTGATTCTTTAGAAAGATTTGTCCTATGAATAATAATATATAGATTATTGTTCTCGGCTTCTTTTTCAATAATATAAACTTTCTAATTACTTCAAGAAAATTAATTTTTCTCTTAACTTAAGCTCTATTTAAACATTTGCTTCGATTTATGATTAGACACAAGTAGAAAATCTACCAAATCTAATGGCATCGGCAGTCAATGAACAAAATAATCGTTTATGGCAACGTTTAGAAGCTCATGTTCAAACACAATTAAATACCATACGACAAACCTTACCAACAATATCCGTGACCTGTCCTCAACGGCAAAATACTGTGTGATTTATCATTGTACATGGCACATTATTTGTGTTGTTGTTTTTATTTTCTCACTTTTTGAAACCTGGTGCTTTGTATTAAAAAATTCTATTACACATTTCATTTGTTTTCTTTTTCTCTAACGATCACATTATTACACAATCAATTGCTCAATATCCACACATAGAGCAAAAGACATTAATAAGTGTATATTTTAATCGTATGATTTTACTTTTGGTTATTTTCTAAATGTTGTATGTTGTTGTTGATGTTGTTCTATTTTTGTATTTTAAATAATAAGAAAAGTGAAATATGTTTTACAGAGCACATATAGTTATTTTAATTTTACTATTGTATGTTCCTTGTTTTGTTTTTTTTTAAATTTGTTTTCAGTAAGATATCACACTATGCGTCAAATTAATTGATATAATATATATATATACATTTTTATATGTGTATGTTCGAGCTTTATTTTACATTCAAGAAAAAAAAAAAACGAAAGAAATCGAATTAATTAAAATTTTGTTTTATGCTTTGTAAATTCACAAGAATTTTTTGTTTTAAACTAGTTCTTAATAGATTCACAAATCAGATTATTTCGTGATGAAATGATTGTTCGGATAATCAATAATAATGAAATATCATGAGATTTAAACAATTTTATTTGTCTCTGGACGATACATTGATTTTTCTATGAGTATAGTTAAATCTATTACAATGAGAAAATGTTATTATATTTTAAAATGTCATCTAAGTACTCTATTTGGTATCATGAAAAATGATATAGTGATTATGAAGCATCTCGAAGATGAAGGGAATAATACTCAGTCTATGTATGCTTGGTAAATAATTTTATATTACATTTACGTGATTATATGTGAATGAATAGCATCATATATGAAGCAAAATTGAGATCGTATACGATATTTCAGTGAAAAATACTTTGATTATAATATTGATTTTATTGAACGATAATCCGGTTACAATTGAAACTTTGTTTTTTACTGAGACTCATTTTGAGCAGACAGTAAGCGAATATTTTTGTCTGTATATACGATTAAAGTACCGAATCATGTCATTTTTTGAATGTCGTCAAGTATAATCATGTAAGATCGTATTTGTTTAATCTGATTGTTCGAAAAATTTGCAAAAAAAAAAGTAGTTTATCAAAGCATTTGTTTTTTTAATGAGAAAAAGGGATGAGTAGATATGTAATGAATAGACAATTAGCGAAGTAATGTTTTAGGTAGTTCGTAGATCTCTGCTATTTATTAATGAGTAAACACTTTTTTTATTATTTCTCTAAATTAGACTCAAGAAATTAATATGTGAGACATGATGAAACTACTGATGTAATTGAAGATGATTTTTGGCAATATGTCTTTCGGCTTGTGTGAATTATTATGTATCATCAACGTATGTCTTTGATGAGAAAAAAAAATACATTAATCGTATTAATTTTTCATTGAGTGTTGAAAGACAGGCACTGTAATCTTTAATTACACCCGAGAAATCATCACAGAAACCTTATGGTTGTCAGAAAAAGAATAAGAACATTCTAATTCTTTTTTTTCTTTATCGAATTCAATTACTTTTTACAATGATTCTACAGAATAGTTTAATATCATGGTTAAATCTTGTGTATGAACATATGTTACAAAATTAATTGCTCTATACTTTCAGATTACTTGTATATGATATTTGATAAAAATTTTCACATAAAATTCGTTGTAAAATATATAAGAAGAAATTAATGAGTTAAAGCTCTGATTTTGTGGGTGTTTTGAATATAGGCTTAGAAATTATGTTTAATAATAGTGAAATAATCTTTGAAAAGTCGGATTAATTAGTTTGAACGGAGCATGTGAATCGACGTTTCCAATGAACATGGTTGTTTATTATATGCTGAAAGGTAGTGAGAAACTTTTTGAAATATTACCTAAAAAATTGTTTTTAATGATGAACAAACAGATTTTTGATTATTCAATAAGTCCTTTTTAGAACATGCTATAAATTGTTGGAGTCAGTAGTTTTGTAGAGTGAACACTTCTCTACAAAATGTGATATTAAACTAAGCTGTAGCTTTTACCTAAACATTTTTTTTCAAAGGCTTCTTTTAACGTAAAACAAATTTTTGATGAAAAACTTAAGTTTTCAAAATGAGTATTTACTAAAAAATAAAAATTGAAGTATCTTTTCGAAAGATGAAATAGTGCGTGGTGTAGGATAGCTTCGAATAGTGAAACTACAAAATTTTTTGTCGAAACTAATTTTTTGATACTTTCTAGAGACTCAAATTTGAGCAAACATTTTGGTTTAAATACTTTCCAATCACCTATCAGAATAATCAAATATCATTTATCAAAGACTAGAACTAAATCAGATTTAAGTAATGAATTTAATGAAACCATCTTTAAGTTTATTTTTTTTTTCCTTCCTTGAGCAAAATCAAAAGCACATAACTTATTGATATAACAAAAAAAAAACGACTAAAGAAAACAAAGTGGTCAACAAAAGAGGAATGTATACATTTAACTGTATACATTATCGTCCTCAAAATAACAAAACAATAACAAAAAAAAAACAGACATACACAACAATCACATATTGGTTTGTCTATGATTAGAATAGATGAGAAAGAAAAACAAAAACAAAAAAATCAGTGATTCTTCTAATATATGAAAAACAAACGAAAATTGCTTATATTAACTATCAGAATTTGATGTTGATGATACTATTGATGCATCTAATACAGATTGTTCTACTTGATTCGTTGATAAAGAATTCGAATTATTTGTTAATATTGATTCATTAACATTTGATGTTTGTTGTTGATTATTAATCATTTTTTGAATATCAATATTAATAGGACGTGACTAAAATAGAAAAATAAAACGAATTTTAAATTTAGAATTCTTTGTTTTTTTTTTTTTTTTTATAAATAATTATTACATGTCCATGACGTTTTGTTAATTGAATAAATGGTGTATTATCATAATGATAACCAGTGACAATAGCTTTAAAACAAGAACCAAGAATTGTTGTTTTAACTGATTCAATTGATTCAGGTGTAAAATCTTCTTGATCTATAATTAAAATAATAATGTTTTTTTGTTTAAATCACAAAAAAGAAAGTTATTGTTTGACTATCCTATTTGATAATTTATATAACAAATTTAATTCAATTTAAAAAACCTAGCAAACTATATTATCAAGATCATTTGAATATAACTAATTGATTACTAAATTTTCTCTTATAGAATTATTTTATTAGATGATTGAGATTAATCTTTATACTAAAAACTTTCAAAATAATTAATTTTCAAAAAGGTAAAAGTCTCTTCTTAAGATAATTCAACTACAATTAATATATATTATAATATTATGTAATATGATATAAGTTTTGAAGTAAGGGAGAAAAAAATGTAAAAATAATTTTAAGAATATTGATATAATTTAAAATTATACTAAAGTACTGTAAAATACTTTTGAACTTGAAGTACACTGTTTCTCTGTGTAGGATCGTCTATAATTTTTCTTTTGGAAGATATACATTAATCTCAGTCTTGACTAGTCGACTGAGTATCCAATTAATTGAAACTGATGAATATCTAATTTTTACGCTATAGTATTAATTAATAGAAACAAAACAGATCTGTAATCATAGCATCTTCAATATGCAATTACGGTTATATTGAAAAACTTTAAAGCCGTTTGATGTAACTAGAAGTTAGAGTCTGTCGGATCCAGATCAAACTGACGGATTCTACTGAAAGTACTTTAAATTAACTTTAAGCACAAAAGTACGATGTTTCTTCTTAGGTTTAGAATTATTGACTAAATAAAATTAGGAATAATTGTTTTCGAATAAACAAAAACTTTGTCCTATGATCATACAAAATACAATAATGAACTTTTTTTTTTCTTCTAAATTCAACTCTATTACTATGACTCAAGTCAAAAGTATAGAAATAGAGTATTTTTGACTTCTTTCCTTGATGGTAATAGCTAGAAGAAATTCATAGCAGATAAAGGATTTGTTAACTTCTTATTGACACGTTTGAGTCTTTTATCAGGGAAAGCTCAAGGATATTCTGTTTTGTTTAGATATGTTTTCTCTATAAGATGAACTCGTTTACAAAACCATTTTTGTGTACTCAAAAAGTGAGTACACTCTAGAATCGGTCAGTATGTCCGGCCGTTTACACGATAACTTTCGAAAGGAGAGTCAGATCATGATGAAATTTTCTACACAGTTTAGTCTTAACAATATCTAGGTCGAGTTCGAAGATGAGAAGGATCCGTCACAAAATGGCTGAGTTATCGAAAAAATTGTCATTATTGACCAGACCATCCCTGAGGGGGGGTACAGGGATTTTTTTCAAAAANCATTTTAACTTGCTCTTTCAAATGATGTATGATTCAATAGGGTTATTCCGAACAATTCTTAATGGGCCGATTTGGCCTCTTATGCGCCCCCGTCCTTTCTTGGCTATATGACAAGTAAAATCAAAAAATAAAATTCGAATGAAAATTGAGACTACTTAGGCTTGATGAATGAAATATATTTCAATTTTTATAGGATTTTGTGATGTTTTTTTTTCAGAACCATATTTACCCCAAAAAAGCATCGTCTGAATCAGAGTTGTTAGTATAATGATAAGTTCTTCCAACAATTTTGATCTGCTAGCCGGGTCCAATATTACATGGATGATCAAGCCAGACTGACAGATCTGCTCTGAATATTCAACTATGATAAAAGAATTTTTTTTTTGTTCAAATTTCGAATTGTCATCACTAGACTCCATCGGATCTAACCTGTACCTTAATATTCAATTTGTCTAATAAAAATATTACACTATAAATTATACTAAACTGAATTTAAGAAAAAATATTCACTGTCACTTACCATAGCAGCCGAAATCTTGTTGTCAATATCAGTTGTACTAAAATTAAAAAACAAAATAAATATCTATCATCATGATAATAATAATTGAAATAAATGAGTTAATAGCATGAATAGTTTTATAGGCTAATTATGTTTTTCTTTTTTTATTGAACACCATTATTAGTTTTTTTTTTAAGATATTAAATACCTGAGCTGTCCTCTTAAACTAAGACAAGCTCGTTTTTCTAATAAACTAAAGCTTGAAAATTAAGGATAGATGAAAAATAATTAGTAAAGAAACAAAAAAAAAAACACTATTTTTTTTTTCTTACTTATTTTGTTTTGTTGGTGTTGTTAATTCTTTAAGAATTTCATTAGCTATTTCAGTATTTTGACTATTTTCATTATTTAATAAACTTATTGCAGCTGCAGCTGTAACAGCAGCTGTTTGTGCTGTTTGAGTTAAATTTAATGGTGAACCACTTGTTGTATATGTCCATATATCAGTTAATGATGTTGTTGAAGGATTTGTTACATTTATATTTATAGGTGAAATAAGTGATGGTGGAAGTAAGTCAGATGTTGTTATAAGTGGTGATGATGATATTAAATCTGTAACTTGTGTTGATTTTGATAAGTCATTATTAATATCATTAACTACTGTTGTAACTAAAGGTTTTGGTTTTGTCGTTGATATTAATGATGATGATTGTTGATTGAGATTTTTTGTTGTGTCATGTTTTGGTGATGTAAGTATAGGTACTTGATGTGATGTTTGTATGTCATTTGTATTATTTGAAATGGTATGTGAAGTTGGAAAGGTTTGAGATGCCTGATTTCGTGGAATAATTGTTGGAAGTGGCGGTACTGGATGATAGGGTGGTATAGTTGCATAAGGTGATGTTGTTGATGATGCTTGGGCAACAAATGCTGCATGAGAAGGATGAGCCGCATATAGAAATGGTGCTACAGCAGCAGCTAATTGAGCACTTTGTAAATGATCAGTTGTTGGATTTGGAAAGTTAGCAGAAGACATCACTGTATTTTCACCATTAATATCCGAAACTAAACATTGAAATATAGAATGCTTTGTTTTTTTTTTGTTTTTGCTAGAAGAAAATTAATTTCGATCTTACCTGCATCTGGAAGTCGAGTAGGATCATTGATATTTGCTGTAGGTGGTAATGAAGATGTTGTTGGTTGTGGTGGTGCTAATGTTGGAGGTTGTAGGAAAGGATTCGAAGCAGCTAATGCAGCAGCAGCAGCAGCAGCCCATGAAGTTGGATATGGTGCATAAGGTGTTGGATAGAATGGATAATAACCAAATTGAGGATGATTTGGTAAAAGATAAGGTTGATTAGGTAATGGTGCAGGTGGATATGCATGAAGAAGTCCAGCTGTAGGTGCAACATTGGCTGTTGGTACTAGAGTCGGTGCATTTTTAAGTGCCATTTGCTGTTGTTGTTGAAACGCAGTTGCAGCTGCAGCAGCTGCTGACTAAAAGAACATGAAATTATAAAGGCGGAACTAAGATTTTCAATAATGATTCAGTAAAGAAAAATAAACATGTCGAGAAGAAGAAATGTTTTCAATTTATAAATCACCATACTGATTCCGAATATGACCATGAAAAATTGTCTTCGGTTTTTATATACTGGTTTTCCAGACTAACGAATATTTTTCTAAAATCATTTTAGATTGACTAAGATTATAGAATGTATAAGTCAATAATATTTTCTGTTGTCTAAAAATGAGGTTAAAACAAAATAATATCATCTAGGAGATTTTCTCGTTCAAATATTGAGATGTATCTATTGTATGAATTTGAATGGATGTGTTTTCTAGACAATTTGATATGCTCTATAATCTGGACAGATCAAAAGAAATTCTTAGAGTAGAGTTTGTTCGTCTGAAAACCAGTGTATAAAGACCTGTGAGGATTCGTCATGGTTACATTCCAATCCATTAACTTTCAGCGAGAAAACGATTAATCAGTTGAAAACGTTGTCTGATAAGAAAGTTCAATTTATAATTTCATAGTTATTTTACATGTGAATATTTCATTATCATATTCTTCTGAAACCAAGTGTATTAGACCAGATTTATTTTAATTACTGACTGAAGATATGTGAAACTAAAGTTTTTCTTCACTTCGATAACTTCTAAGAAAAATCTTCAACACTCATTGTTTGATTTATAAGATAATTTGCTTAGAACTATAGTCTTTAGTACCGATTGGAACAAATTTTTTTCTGATAGTCTCAATCTCTGGGATTGAAATTCGTCTCGCACATCTCAACTACTGACTGAAAAATTTAACTAATGTCCGCGCCAGAATAAAAGAGGGGTGAGTGTAAGCTCAATAGCTCGACAACCGCAATACCTAGCTACCTGCGGTTTTCACCAATCGAAAGAGGAGGAGCGGGCACGTCTTTGTCTTCGATAATGTATAAGACGAAATTCTTTTAAAACTAATGATATTTGAAAAACATGCAAAACAACTCATGAAAATGACCTGTCAGCTAGATGAAATTTTGATTTTGACCTTCGATTTAGATAGACGTACTTGAGATCTATAGTTCAAGTTACAATGCAAATGAATGTCTTACTACATTCTAACGTTGAGCAAATGGAATCATGTACCTACATGCGCAAATAATAGGAAA